TGATGTTGCTGATCTGGACTACTGTTTGGAATGTTCTTTGGTTTATTTTAGACTCATTTTCTTTTTTTAATCCTTTTTTCCCAGCTTTATCAGTATTGACAAGAAGGAGTCGTATATATTCAAGGTGAACAACCTGATGCTCTGATATATGTATGTGTTATGCAATGACAGTTCCCTCCTTAAAGTTCCTATGTCACTCCAGTCTCCTTTCTTTTCTGCTTCTCCATGCTCTCCACCTACCTTTCCCTCTCCCTCTTTCACTTCCCCAGGCTTCTTTCTAATACAGATCTTCATGAACTTTCTAATATAGATCAGTTCAGCTTGTATTCTGCTTTTAGTTCACCAAGAACCCTCAACCCACAACTGAGCCTGAGAATTGCGAACTAAGTCCTCTTTTCCTCACAAGCCTATTGAGCAACCTCCATTGTGGCTTCCGTCTGTTTACAAGATGTGAATCGTTGTCCTCTGCCGTCTCTACTCTTAGCCTGCTTAATATCCCCAGGTCTTGCCGTGTAGTCCTTTGGAATAAACTCCTAGAGTATGGAGGGCAAGAAATGGCTACTTAGAAATATCTATTTCCCAGGATTAAGCATGCAACAGGAGGTGCATCTGCCACGCCCATCTAATTGTGGTTTATTTGTTTAATATTAAAATGATCTCAGATCTGCATAAGCCATATGCTTTTCCTCCAGATTTCCTGAGCCCTGATGCATTAAGCATCTGTAAAGCCATTTCACTTTATGTCATTAAGGATGGGAATGTGCTAATGTAAATACCAATTGGAAAGCTTGAGTAGTTTTTCACATTTTTTCAATCATACTGTTTGCTGTATTATTATTATGGATTAGTCTACTTTAGGTACAATTTCACAGTATGATCAAAGTCTTACTCTAATATTTAGATCCCAAATGACAAATTTAATGGCCTTAGTTAACACCCCAAAGATGTAGGCTTAATTTTGTGGTTCACCTACTCTTGCTGTTTACTTTTCTGAGCTGTAGCCAAGCTGAAGAAACTGTAAGAAAGCAGAGTATGATTATTTATGAAAGAAAATGCCTCCTTCTTCAGTAAAATGAAACTCTAGCTTCTCCTTTCAAGTTGACTCCTGAAAGAAGGGAATCTCCACATGGGGACAGAGGAAAGAGACACTTCATGGCCTCTATTTTTCTCTAAGGTAATGCCTGCATCAAACTGGCTTCCACATCATGCTCCTTTCCGGGATATTCCAGCTCAAATGAGGGGCTGGGACTCTTCTCTTCATAGCCCATGTCTGTCGTAAGAGCAGAACTTTTAATTCATTAATTACCAACTTGAAATTTCCCGAGTAGGTTGTACAAGGGGAGTCTAAAATGTCTCCTTGATTTATCCTCCCACCTACCCAGTCCTCCTTCCCAGAGGCATCCAGGGTAACTGATTTCTTTCATATCCTTCCTGGGACATTGTATACTTAAATAAACAAGTATATGATCCTGTTCATCCCTGTTCTTGAACGTGGGGCACACTGTGTTACTTGAAGGACGTGGCTTTCCCCTTATTCTGACTTGGAAATCTACCAGTGAACAGAGTTCCTCATTCTCTTCTGAAGGTGCAATGACCAGTCACATGGCTGCACCATAATTACTTAGAAACTTTCCTATAGATAGGCCTTTGCATTGTTTCTAATCTTTTCTCTCCATTTTTTAATTTTTTAACTGGGGATTGAACCCAGAGGTGCTTAACTACTGAATCACATCCGTAGCCCTTTTTAAAAATTTTTTATTTTGAGTCAAGGTCTTGCTAAGTTGCTTGGGGCCTCACTAAGCTGCTAAGGCTGGCTTTGAACTTGTGATCCTCCTGCCTTAGCCTCCCAAGTTGCTGGGATTACAGGTATGTACCACTGCATTGGGCTCTAATATTTTCTTGAGAAGATGCTTTGATGAAAACAATGAATAGCTTTTTATACATATATAAGAACTTTCTAAATATTACTGAGTCCAGAATCAATGCATCTTCAATTAATATATAATACCAAATTTACACTACTATTGCCGTTTACCCACAAGTACTGACTGTATGGAGACAAGAGCTTATAAAAGACTCTGGAATACTGTAAGGCGTATGTGAACAACCCAAAGTTAGAAAGTGTGGCTTATGAGCTATGACTTACTTCCTCTGGGTTTGTGATCAAATAAATGCTTTTTTCCCCCTGACTCTCAATTGCTTGTACAAGGCAGATCTCAAATGAGGCAGGATATTTGCTTTCTCCTTCCTCGTCTGCCTCATGCTCTTCTACCTCTGTAAGCCAGAGGTAACATAAAGATGCCTTAGGTAATGGAATTCAAGGAATATAAAGCTACCAAGACTCTTCTAGAATTTTTCCCATCTCCATCCTATCCCCAGTGCCAGTGTCTGGCCCAAACAGAACTCATGCTAGAGGCTGATCACAAGCAGTGAGAAGACCCAGGGGCTGTGGGAAGGCGGAAAGGAGGGGAAGGACAAGGTGACAGCAGCACAGGGGGTGGTTGGGTGCCTCCTTTCTTCTCCCTGTTGACCTATATTGTTTTTGTAGATGTGTAGAAAGATTCAAATTAAGACAGTCACTTATACTATGAGAACTTCAAGTTTGAGGATTCTTTCTTTGCCCCCCAACCCCCTAATTTTCTTAAATATTGGTGAATCCCAATATGACAAAAAATTAATTTAAATGAAAAAATAAATAAATAAAACTATCTGTAGTAAAAGATTTTTGTGGCAGAGTTTGTTGTGTGTTCATCGTATTCCATTACTTTTCTGTCTCAGCAGGAACTAGATTCTATTGTTCTGCTTTCCTTGCTGGCTGGTGGCAGCATGCAACTATGCTCCGGCCTGAGGAATGTGGGCAGAGGGACGCGTACCCTTCCCAGAACTGGCCCCAACAAAGTGCCTGTGCAGTTACCTCTCTTTCTCTTTCTGCCTTTGCACACACTGGGAAGCAAATGTCTTGGAAGAACCTAGGTGATGGCAAAGCCAGACACAGAATGACTGTGGGTCACTGAATGCTATTTGGAAGAGAGCTCAGGAAAGCTGTTTTGTGCCTTCCTTAAGTGATGTTACTTCCTTCCTTGGATTGGCCTCTGCTGGGGTTCTGTATCACCTAGTACTTATCCATCATGAAGGCAAGTGTAGGATTCATTCATTAGATAAATTTTCCCAAAATAATAATAATAATAATAATAATAATAATAATCATCATCATCATCCTGTCTTCAGTTAGTACAGAAGGTCAGGAAATTATTTTAGAAATCTCTTGAAACAAAAACAAAGTTCATGTTTACTCTTAATGCTGGGGTATGCTGTTGAGCACATTAAACTCTATTCTGGTGGCTCCTTAACCCTTGTCACCACCAACCTCAGTGAAGTGAATGAATAGCTGATTGACCCATGGCATGAGGGGGGAGAGGAAAAGAGGGAGATCAAGAGGGCTGAGATGGGTAAGGAAAGACAAAGATTTGTAGGGACTTATCAGTATGTCTGGGCCTGTTATCTGCTTTATGTGCATTTTCTCACTTAGTAATCAAAAGGCACAGGTGCCTATTTCCTTTTATAAGGAAATTCCAGATCTGAGAAACTTCACTAAATCAAAATACAAAGAATTAATGAGTGGCAGAACTCAGGACTAAAATAATGTAGAGGGGGGATCCCCAAGGAGTGCAGAAAGCTTAGAGATGGGAGAAAGGAAAGGCAGAGTAGGAGGAAAAAGGGGGGGGGGGGAGAGTGGGCCAGAGTGGAGCATGGGATGGGTGTCAAATGGCACCTCTCTCTAGCTATCAACCCCTCTTCCCTCTGAAGATGTTTATTCCGTAACCATGTCTGCAACTAAAGAAAATTGCTTTAGCCAGTTTTTATTCCACAGGACTCTGTCCCTTAACGACTTGTCTAATTAAAAAGCTCTAAAAGGATTGCATTAACTGGAGATATCCAGTCTTTTTTCTCATCATCAACATGACAAAGACAGAATTGGGCACCATAAATGCTGATATTTCTGCCCTTGTAAATCCTCATTAAGGTCCTTTAACACAACCATTGAAGGAGACATCAGCTTTTGGCTTTTGGGAAAAACACTTTTGAAAGCAAACTTGATGAAGTCACTTCTACAAAATCTAAAAAGCACAAATGTCTTTTGTGATTCAATTTCTATTTCCAACATGTTGACTAAAGGCTGATTATGATGTGTCAGAGCGAGCTGAACAAGCATGTGCTTTGTTCTGACATGGTATTGCTGTGTTCTCAATAGCTTGAGATGACAAAGCGGGGAGGAAGGAAATTAAATTTAATCGCTGCTTAAGTAAGGGAAAAAGTGCGGTACCCTTGTTCTTTGCCAACAGTTCTGCTTCTTAAGGATACAATTATTAGTATTTGCTGGTATGTACTGCCCTAAGAAGTGCCAATGAAAGCAGTGCATGCCCTCCAGTGGTTTCCTAATGAGTAAAACTTCAATCTTTCGCCCTGGCATTGAGGGCTCCTTAACCACAGAGGGCTTCTTAGAGTTTCCAGAATGTGTCGGCATTTTTGCATCTCATGGCCTTTGCACTGCTCTACTCCCAGAGCAGAAGTTATCTCCATTGTTCTTTGTATCACTGATCCCTCGTTTTTTCAGGTTTCAACTCAGGGATCTCTTCTTCAGAGAGGCGTTTTCTGACCACTCTGTTGAAAGCAGGGTCCCATTTTCCCAAATCCATTCGTTCTCTACCACATTATTCCATTAGTTTTTTTAAGGGCATTGAATCATGTTAGGATTTAATTTTAGTGTGTTTACTAGTTTGCTCCAGATTTACTTTTTTTGTGTGATTATTACCCATTTACAGTCTATCACATCATTTTTTTAAAAACCTTTTTCTTTTTCTTTTTGTAGTGCTGAGGATTGAACCCAGGGTCTTGTGCATGTGAGGCAAGCACTCTACCAACTGAGCCATATCTCCAGCCCTAAATCTTTTTTTAAGGGCACTTATTACCATAAGAATTTATTTAAATTTATATTTACTTAAAATAAGGAAGGCTTCACTTATTAGCATGCTATCTTTGAGCAGGTGCCAGGTTAATCTCTGTATTGTCTCAATTTTTGGGAATATGCTGCCTAAATCAGCATAGGGATTTATTTCTAATTTGTTTATTGGTTTTCTCCAAGTTACAATGAGAAAAAAAAATATCTAGCTGGTTCCTCAATGCATAACCTTTCAAGGCCTAGAGAATCACTATGTGAGCTTTTTGATTGGATGAGTTGTATTTATTGGGCTCAAGATAAATCCCAGAGCCGAGTGCAGGGTCTGGCATACTATACTTGTTGGAACGTTGAATAAATAGAAGTGCAGGTGAGATCACTGCTCATGGTGAACTTGGAGGATCTTAGAAGAAGATATAGGTATGGAAGACTAAAAATAGGGTCACTAACATGAAAAATCTTCATGCAGCAGAAGAAAGATCAAAAATTGTAAATCATTGTATTTAGTGGCAATTTCAGGACAGTTGCTAGGATATAATTTATATCATATAAAACCAGTTACAGTCTTAGAAGTCAATATGAATTATTAAAGAACACCTCAGGTTGGAAAAACGACAGGGGGGTCAGAGTCTTGGGTAGACAAGCCCAGAGCAGCTGTCTGCACTGAGCAGACGCAAGTCACTGGGCAGGTTTGCAGACCATTTAAATGCTCTCCAGAGTTTTTATGCAATTCTTGGGGGAAGAGCCTGAGTTTCTTGTAGTTGTAAAAGCTTGAGACTTTTGTTTAGGAAATAGAGTACTAACTCATTGGAATCTGAAGAATGTAAGGATATTCAAGATGCATATACTATTGAGGATACTATAATACATTCACACTACAGGTTAGGAGTCCCTTATCCAACATGCTTGAGACCAGAAGTGTTTCAAATTTCAGAATATCTGTATTACCTCATGAGGCATCTTGGGATTGGGACCAAAGACTAAACACAAAATTCTTTTATGTTTCACATACACCATATGTTTCATATACACTATATATATATACATATGTATATATATGTGTATATATATATATATATATATACACACACACATATGTGTATATAAAATATGTATATATATATATATATATATATATATAGAGAGAGAGAGAGAGAGAGAGAGAGAGAGAGAGAGGAGAGAGAGAGGCGGGAGGTAATTTGTGCAACACTTTTTTTTTTTTTTTTAGCAATTTTTCATATGAAACAGGTCATGTTTTGTCATTTTTGACTTCCTAAAGTTGGGATTTTTTGAGCATTTGGATTTCAGATATTTGGATTCAGGATGCTCAACCTGTGCAATGAGGAAAATCATTAAAGCAGTAGTCATCTTCTACTTCAATGTACATTTTTATTCATAGTTGAAAAGAATAGTCTATTACTGCTAACATATTGTAAATTTACTCAGAATCAAAGGGTTCAGAGAGACATAAAAATGTATGTATTTTCTATTAAATAACAATTTCTGCTCACTTTAGATTATGAGTATAGTATACACGAATTATATGCACAAAAAATGTAAAAAGTAATTGTGAAAACAAGTCTCGTTACCAATTTTTATAAGAAAAAAGACATTCATTTTTTTTCACAAGCTACCAACATCATATAGGATAGTTCTGACAATATTCAGTCTTCTTCAATTAATTCATCTGGTAGCTCAAGAATCTATAGGAAAAAATTAATATACAGTGAAGTCACTACTCAGTGTCATGGGACAGTAGAAATTCATATCAGTACAAAATATCATTCAAGAGTTTTACATGGAGTTCCAGTGTCAAGTTGGAGAGACATTTTGGTTGGCAAGCAATCTAAGCATTATTGAAGATTGAAAAATTTAAAAAAATGATTTCTGTTGGTAAAAATGTTAAGAGTTTAAAAACATGTAGACATAGACAAAAGTTGTTATGTCTTAGTCTTTCCATCATCTTACTAGCAGATCCTTGCCTAGGAAACATAATGAAATGTTTTAGGTACTTCCAGTATTTTCCATAAGATGGCAGAGTTGATATTATAAATATGAGAACAAATTCACTTTCATTCTGTTGGTCACAGCAAGAAAAAGAGCCTTAAAATCATCCTCACTCTTTGAATATTGCTATCTTGTATTCAACAATAATAAGTTTAAAAGAAGCAATAAAAATGTAACAGTTATGTTTTAGATTGAGATTATGCCATAGTTCCATGGGAATTCCCCTTTGAGCACTGATTTTGCTCCTTGAGTGAGTTCCTGTAACTGTCAATTGTCTGTGCTGAGTTTTATGTAAATACTAACCAACCCATCAATGCCCTGTCCATTACTCTCAGATCACCACAGATATGACAGGAAAATATTGGTATCACTGAAGCAAGTAGTGGTCGTAACTGTTTTTGATTGTTAGGAGCTGCAGACTGTCTACCTTTAATGCAAATTTAGAGGCCCTTCAGTCTTTCTTTGATTTCCTTTGACACGGGTGACAGGTTCTGAATGACAGGACATATTTTGTCCATTTGCTCTTAAGTAGAGAGTCACAGCAACACATGCAGCACCCATCTGCCCAGAACAGGATAGTCAGGGGCCAAGAGAGACTTTAGAATCAGAGTGAAGAGGTGTCAGTTGCAGAGACTAAACTCAAGGAAACTGTGATGCATACATTGACTAAAAGGGACTTGGATTTCTGTTGGAAACATCTCAAGTAAAAGCTGTGTATTTGATTGTTTTTATTGCTTCCCTAGCTTCTTGCACAAAGCAGATGCTCATGAAGTATTTGTTGAATGTGTAAGGATACAGTAAAGAAATGTTGCAAATGGACTTTCTTCCTTTCTCAGCTTGCAGGAGCTCAGAATCTGGAAGAAGGAAAGTTGTGGCATCTCCAGTCAGGGCCCAGCTTGTGTAGCGCACTAGGTCCTGGAGCTCTTCACCACTGGACTGTGAACTCCCTGTGGGAAGACTGTTATTATTTTGCATTATATCTCTAGTCGTCTGTCCAGTGCCTCATGAATAGGAGGTGCTCCACAGGGATGTTTTGAAAGAAAGAGGTGACACACATAACTTGCCATCAGTGGACACTGGCATGTGTGTAGCTTGGGAGTTTGTTGAATCCTGTCTTACCCATGTGGCTGGTTTACCAAATGCTAGTATGGTAGCTACCTGCAGTTAAACTTCCAGATCAATAATATCTCCTGGGTATCGTCAGTTTTACACACCACAGGGGAAGTCAGACATCCATAAAGGAAGAGGAAACATGTTCCAGTTTGATATAAAATGCTACTATCCAGAGAATACCCAATGCCGACAGGATCAAGTTTGTTTCGGTGAATGTAGGCAAGATCTTGTGGAACCCAGAAGAAAGCATGCCACACCCATGTTTTCTGTAAACATTTTTCTTTTCTGTGAAATTTCACAGGACTATGAGATCTTTCAAATGAAAAAAAATCAGGTCATTGTATCAGAAGAGACAATTTGGTAATTTCCAAGTGGAAAAAAATTTTTTTTTCAAAGGGGAAAATTCTAGAGAACTAGTTATCAGGGCCCACAATCTTGAAAATTTACCCACTCCTTCCCTCTGAGATAGCTTCTTACTGTACTTTTGCTCCTATTTTATGTACACATAGACTACATCTGGGTTATTACTGATCTTTGCTCTTTTAAACACCTAAGCACATTTTCTTTAATCATTTTGGGAGAAGAGTCTTCCAAAACAAAGTTGACATAACCTAACTATGTAAGAAGACTATAATGACCATATGGTCACCACATATTGTTGGACAGATAATGCAGGAAGCAGTAATACTACATTTGAAAGCTTTTCATTCACACAGTAGTCATTGAGATATGTGTAGTCATCAGAAGAAAATGTCCAGCTGATGAAATTAAACTATATTATTTAAATAAAATCAATAATTAATATAATTTCAAGATAGGAAAAAAGTTTCTTCAGAAAGTAGTATCTGTTCCTAATTCACACAAATAAATCTTTCACTTAATGATTTGAATTCATTATAATATGAACAAAATGTTTTGTAAAACAATACAGCACTGCCTTAAGGCTGTGTTAAGTATATTTATTTTTGCCTTAAATATCCCCATAAGACTGTGATTTACATTCTTATATTAGTTTTTCCTCTCTGTTATTTTAGAAATAGTGTGCATAATTACTATCTGTATTTTTGCTCATTTTACTTTGCATCTCCCTTTCCTGTTTTCTGCTTCTAATCTGTATGGGCTTGAAAATTATTTTTAATAAAATAGTTGAGACACTAGGACTGTGGATCAATTAAGAGTTGAGTAGGAGTTAAATAATAGCTGCGAGAGTTTTCCTATGAATAAAACTGAGGGGTTTCAGGGTATGGATTTTGTGAAATCTATTGGGATAGTCAGACGACATTTTTGTTAGATTTTTGATTCTTGTTCTGTTGTGGATGGATGAGTTTGCCAGGTAGCAGAGTTCTTGTTACATACAGGGAGTCTTAGAAAACTTTGAAAGGTAAGTGCAATGGAGAAGACCAGTTTTGGGATATTATTATTATTATTTTTACCTACAGTGGCAGAAAATCCTTAGTGTTTTCAGAGCAGAAGTTCTCAGTGGGAGTTCTCACAAGTTACAACCAGAGGATGAGAAACAGTTTTGTTATTCTAATGTATCAGGCATTTTGCTTTAGGAACTTTGTGGTTATTAATTCTCTTTGCTTCAGATGTTCCCCCTAGGATGCAAAAGTATTTTGAAGTGTTAACACCCACATTTCCTTTGAGTTACACTGGATGAAAAATGGAATGCCTATGTGTGTAGAAGAAAATGAGGCATTTTTTTTATTACAATTATCACTGATGGCTAATAATACTCTGGCCTTCTAGCAGCACCTATCACATGGCATCTTCGATTTTCAGGGAAACTTTAATGAAAACTCTTCGTTTTCTTAAAGGTTGCAATTATTATGCAGCACAATGTTTACAGATAGGGAAATGTGAGACTCAGGCAGAATAAAATCAAGGAAGGTTGATGGCCATGGGCCCCGAAACAAATGGGAAAAGAATAAAACAGAAACAGACTTTGTCTTCTTAATCCCACCCTGAAACCACTGCCCAAACCTCCTTTTTGACAAAGATTAATGGAACCAACGTGCCTCAAGCCT